ATAAATGAAAAGAAGATTGAATATCTTTATATTACTGTAATCATACCTGGTAAATATGAAAGGTTACCTGACTTTTCTTCTATTTGTACTACACAAGTATAAGCATGATGATGCAATCACAAGCCACAAATAAACTAGAGGTTTACTGAAATAAATATTAGTTGGCATGACCGGTTGACCATCTCGGTTCAATTATGATGCGAAAAATTAATTGAGAATTATATTGGCATATATTGAAGAAATATAAGATTCTTCAAGAATTCTCTTCTGCTGCTTATTCTCATGATATACCAGTTAAGGTTGGGATTGAATCCCTTGATTTATAGAACGAATAAAGGTGATAAATATATGGGCACAGTCACCTTTCATGTGGACCGTTTACTTTTGCAAGATTTTAATAGATGCATATATTCTATGGTCACATGTGCATTTGTTATCAACTTGCAGTTTGGCTTTTGCAAGATTGATTGCTCAAATTATTAGATCACGGTTCCAGAATATAAATTATGATGATTTATCTTGATAATACTAGTTTAAATCTAAGTTGGTTTAACAGAAATTGTATGCCTCCAATTATATCTAAACCATTGGTTATGAGAACAAAATTGCCAAAATAAAATTTGGTATGTGATGTATTATGTAATATACAACAGCACTTGTACGCATCTAGCCAAGTTATGATAAGTTCTCCCTATCACAATCGGTTCAGGGTCAGGAACCAAATAATTTCCATCTAGAAATATGAATGTGCTATATGATTTAATTGTTCCACCGTAATTCACAAAGATGGATCCCCAAATAAGGCTAGGGATATGTGTTGGTGATCCCAACAATAGGGGGAGAAAATAGGCAGCTGAAAAAGTAATGCATGTAATGAATTATTATGAGTACATCTATATTCTCGTACGAGAAAATGTGAACTTGAAGTTCAAGTGATAATTCATTTGTAAAATATTGCCAGACGTATTTGCTGACCCAAAGCTAAATGTCATATTCAGCTGCTAATGCTCCAAATAAAATAAAGTTCATAATGAATAGAGTCCATGGCATGCATGAAGCATAATAGACTAATCGGTTCCAAAGATAAAACTCCTTGAAGAAGGAGATGAGCAAATGTTCAAGATGGTCATAATAAGGAGGCAAGTGCTTTAGAAGAGCACCACGACATAATACTTCATAAGACCTCATGGGAGAGGCTCAGGTACCTGAAAATAATAAGATACAGAGATCTCAATAAGTTATGTCTTTATTGGGTAATAGTAGAACCGATATAAAATGATCGTCGGCGATATTGTTAATATAATGTAGCGCTCAATATTATTAATATTGACGAGGATCTTGATCTCAAATTTGTCATAAAATTTGGACAGATAAATGATTGGCCAAATGAAAAATACGCAATGAAAATTGATTTCACCTGAAAAATATAAAGTTGGACGGATAGTCCCCACACCTGAAAGTATAAAGTCAGTGAAAGTATAAATGTGTTCTTGTGCGGAAAAGAAAAAGTCAAGTCGATAGACATAAAGACGACTTGTGTCACAAGAAGATTTGTAAATATCCTGGCATTGATTATATAGAGACATGTTCTCCTGTGGTGGATGTCGCCATTTCAGGTTTTAATCTGCAATACAAGAAAAATGTGATATGCGTATAATGGAAATCATTGAAGGATTTAAATTGTTCTGAAGCATATTAAGGTTTCCAAAATATTTATTAAATAAAGTTTCAAAAATCCTTATACGGATTGAAACAATCAGGGCGCATGTGGTATAATCGCCTGAGTGAGTACTTGTTAAAAGAAGGGTACAATAATGATTCAATTTGTCCTTGTGTCTTTATAAAAAGATCCGGATCTAAATTTATTATAATCGTCGTGTATGTTGATGATTTAAATAACATTGGAACTCCTAGGGAGCTTCCTAAAGCAATAGACTATTTAAATAAGGAATTTGAAATGAAAGATCTTGGAAAGACAAAATTTTGTCTTGGTCTACAAATTGAGTATATGAAAAATGGAATTTTTGTCCATCAATCAGCATACACTAAAAAGATTTTAAAGCGATTCTATATGGATAAAGCACATCCATTGAGTACCCGGATGGTTGTGAGATCACTCGATATAAATAAAGATCTATTTCGACCTCATGAAAATAATGAAGAGTTTCTTGGTCCCAAAGTACCATATCTTAGTGCAATTGGTGCACTAATGTATCTTTCTAACATTACAATGTCTGACATAACTTTTTCAGTTAATGTCTTAACAAGATATAGCTCTACTAATACAAGGAGACATTGAAATGGAATCAAACAAATATTGCGGTATCTAAAAGGGACTACCGATATGGGATTATTTTATGGCAATGATTGCAGTCCCGATCTTGTTGGTTATGCCGATGCTGGGTATTTATCTGACCCACACAAGGCTCAATCTCAAACAGGTTATGTGTTTATATATGGAGGCACTGCCATATCTTGGCGATCGACTAAACAATCAATCATGGCTACTTCATCTAATCATGCTGAGATAATTGCTATTCATGAAGCAAGTAGAGAATGTGTATGGTTGAGGTCTATAATACACCTTATTCGAGACAAATGTGGTTTGAAGTGTGACAAACTACCCACAATTTTGTATGAAGGCAATGCAACATGCAAAGCCCAATTAAAGGGAGGATTCATAAAAGGGGATAGGACAAAGCACATTTCACCAAAGTTATTTTTCACACACGATCTTCAAAAGAATGGTGATATCAATGTGCAACAGATCCGTTCAAGTGATAATATGACTGATTTGTTCACCAAATCTCTACCGACGTCAACCTTCAAAAAACAAGTGTACAAGATTGGGATGTGAAGACTCAAGGATGTGAATTGATGCTCTCATCAAGGGGAGTTAATACGCGTTGTACTCTTTTTTCCCTTACAAGGTTTTGTCCCACTAGGTTTTTCTTGCAAGGTTTTTAACGAGGCAACCAAAAGGCGTATTTCTAAACGTGTGTACTCTTTTTCCTTCACTAGGATATTTTTTCCATAGGGTTTTTTCCTAATAAGGTTTTAACGAGGCACATTATTTATGGACATCCAAGGGGGAGTGTTATAAGAAAAATCAAATTTTGGTGGATGTCTACTCTTCCTCCATGAT